GCCAAACCTACGTCCCTTCCAGCATTTCGCATTCGCCTTCGGTTGGGAGCGCTCTCCGGTCGTGCTCTCCCCCCCCGTAGCCCCCCACCCTGGCAGCGTTCCCAATATCCAGGCCCCCAACAAGCCCCAGATATGACATCCCGGAGATGATGCTCTCTCCGACCTCCGACCTCGGGGGGTGTCCGCTCTGCCCCTCTCCTGGGGGTACCACGAGCCCAACAGGATCGCTGCAACGGGGGGGAAAGGGGCCGCGGAAAAGCTGCTCTCCTGCCAAATGGAGAAAGGCTGTGGCTCTGCTCAAAGCAAACTGACCTGCAAAATTCAGGTTGCAGCCCCACAAACCTTCGGTGTAAGGGGGTCTGTGCTTCTCGCATTGAAATTGCATTCTTGCATCGGAACTCATCGAACCGAAATGCAGCCACGCGCGTATATTGCAAAGACACAGCCTTCGATATTGGCACGTGCTCTGATAGGTATGGTCAGAAATTGCTCCTTATCTGAAGTCTGGATTTGTCCTAATCCCACAGTGAGGGAATGGAAATGACCTAAAAGTTGGCTCTTGGCAGCTTTTGAAACAAAACATTAGCTGCTTGCATCTCTTTTTGAATTGATCCTGCTGCTTGGGGTCCAAATAGTTGAAGTATTTTGTCCAGAAACCATCAATAGCTGTCAGTTGCTGAACAAGCAGTTATATGAAAGAGCTTGATAGTTGATTTTTTCCAACTGCTTTTAGTGAATGGCAATTGGCATGCTAATAAATAAAGAGATAAAATTTATGTTAGCTGAAAAGTCATGAAAAAGTGGCGTTATGTAAGGTAATGTTCAACACTGCATTAGGTCATTAAATTAAATTACAGGCAGATTTTTTTTTTTTTTTTAAATGCTATATCAAAGGTGATTTAAGTAACTTTCACTGCATTTCTGGGAGAGTTTTTTCAGGTTGATTGCTATATGTGCTCTTTGCAAATTGTTTGTGCATTGTAGGTGCGTACATAACTTTACAGCTATGCCAACATATTTTGTAATAAAATTTTACATCCAAATTACAGTTATATAATTTAATGGGCTATTCTTTTTCTTCTTATTGCACCTCCAGCCACGCATCCAATGCACACAAAGCAATTTCTTGGCTTACGAGACTTAAAACCATTAGACCACCAAAGAGCTGTGAATTAAACGCCGTGCAAGTAATGACGGCATTCGTGCTAACATATCAAACCAGAAAGAAAATTGCACAGCCTCTCAAATACCAAACTTTGGGGTTGATTCATTCGGTGGGTCTGTGACCTGACAAGGCAGTATGATTAATTGCACACATATTCCCTTGGAGGTTTTCCCGCTCATGCTTTCTGCGGCAAAGATTGTTAGCTTGACAGATCAGCGTAGCAACCTCTTAAGATGCCAGAAAGGGAAGGGATTGGTTTCTGATTGAAAGTTAAGGGAGGAATAGCAGCTGCTTGGTGCTGAGAAAAAAAAAAGCAGCTTTCGATTCTTGGAGAAATCGCACATAGAAATAAGCTGATTTTTTGATAACTCCGGCTATGGGATTTCTGTTAGGGACTGCAAGAAAATATTCACATGATACAATAGGCTTCATAACTTGGAATTCAGCTGTGCTTCCTTTCATCTGATTACCTAAATACAAGCCATGGCCTGAGTTTTTTTTCTTTTCTTATTAAACACTATTCTAGGTGTTTCCTCTTCCACATGTTTATTCTTGGCTTTAAGATACTTTTGGTCATTTAGGCTAAACTTTGCAGAAACACAGATTCGGCAGGCAGCTCCCGCATTTGCGATGCTGAGCAAAGATGCTTGCACAGCACGTTCCTTCTGTTAACAGGCAATCCGCACTCTCCCGGCATCGTACCAGACCCAAACAAGTGTTGGCTGCCCGGTTTAAAAGAGTTTTAATTTTTCAAGTAAGGCCTAAACCCCTAGCAAACTCCATTAGACACATCCTCAAGGTTACTTAACCCCTATACCTTATCTATGAAAGGGTTTTAAATATTAACCAACGTTTCCCCTTTCACATTTCCCAGCTGGACTCTGATGGAATAATGTGACGAGCCCAGCTGGTAAAAGCCCTTCAAATCCAGCAGACTGTGCCGGACCGCTGCCAAAGGGCTACGTTTACACCAGAAATGACAGGTAATGACCTTTAAATTGCCCCTGGGTACCCCTGTGACATCCCTCCTCTGCTCCAAGCGTTGAATTCAGCTCCTTGTTCAGTAGCTAAATTTCCTAATGCGTTGTGAAATCCCATCTTTTACTGGCAACACAGAAACACACAAAGCAGGAGAAATGCAACAAAAAATGCTCCTATTACTTCAACTTTTAAAATGAGCCTAAGAAGCTGACAGAGGAAGATACTGTATAAACAAAATTATTTAATTGCACTACATGAAAGAGAAGGCAGATCTTACTGAAGCGGAGCAGCAGGCAGCACGACGGAACAAAATTCCTCAAAGCAATAGCAAATAAGTATTGAATAAAATGCAAAAGTCAACTCTGCAGATGGGTCTGGAAAAAAAAAGGAGCTGCTCTGGCTGCAAATACACTTTAGAGAATACGCCGCAAAAACTGGAAATCCGCAAAGCCAAGGGGGAAATCAGCGAATAATCCGCTAGAAGGAAATCCCCAGCTTCCACGATCAAATATGGGGATTAGAAAGACATTTCTAAATCAATGAGGTGCAGGCTGGGACAGAAGAGTGAATTTCAGGTTTTGTCTGGGTTTTTTTCCCCTCAGCATCACGTACTGCCAAGCCAGGGAGATACTTACTGCCTGTCTTTGCACGCCAATTTGGATGTTTAATTTGGGATGTTAATCTCTCTGCAAGATGATTTAATATCATCCTTGTAACCACTACTTACTTCCAGAGGCCTTTCTAACAGATTTAAAGATATGATGGCCCATCAAGTGAGCTGCATCAACTCAATTCACTTCTTGCCTTTTGCTCACTGAATCAGCTGCACAATTCAGTCACAAAAGCTTCTGGAGCAAAGCTAGAGAGGATTTTATTAATCTGGATTTGTGAGCTCCAAGCTACTGGCTTAAAAATCCATGATGAATCTGTGTCACCGTGTATTTCCTTCTCCCTTGGGAAAACAAAAGGATGTATATATGCAGAAAATCAGGGTTATTTCCCTTACCTGTAAGAAGCTACCAAGAGCAAATAGAGGAGGGGAACTTGCCACCACCTTAACCCAGATAACCAAACCACCCCAACAGTGGCAGCTTTCTGTGATTTGCAGAGTGTGAAAAAAAAATATATATTTTAAAAAAAAAAAAAAATAAAATATAGTTACCAACCCCCCCCCGACCAGACGCATGTGTGCAATGTCAGGCACTTCCAAAGGGGTGATGTTTAAAACAGAGAATTGGGAAATTTTCACACAGGCAGCACTTTTCATCCACAGAACTGGAAGTGCTGCAACCAACACTAATCAGATCTTTCATAGACAGTAGCCAAGAAGCATCAAGTTCCCACCTCCACGGACAGATTTCCTTAACTTCCTTCGAAGGAATAGCTAACCTGGAGTGCACCGGGACCAAAGGACTCTCGGAAAGTTTTATAGCAAGTAAGCAGGGGAGTGGGGAATGACCTCCAGTCGCCCTGCTGCCCTCATCGCTGGGCACCGCGACGCCCACAACGTGCACTAGTTTACAAAATAAGAAGCCGTAGGGAAATCAATTCTTAAATGCAGACTACGATTAACCTGAGCTGGAGCCTGGGCAATACAAGCAGGTTTGTCACCGCGCCTTGTGCCAACAAACCTTTCGGGCTTTCAAATCTAGCACTTTCTTCGTCCTCTGGAAATACCTCTCCTACGTGTTAAAAGCACAGTGAAACACAAGGTATTTAAACATAATACTGGGAATATCGGAGCTTAGCACAACGAACAGCATGGTTAGAATTGCGGAATTGTTAGCGTAGATTACAATGCTCTGCCAGTAATCGCACGCCGAGAGACTCGCTGCCCGAGCCGTGTGGCTTTTCTTCCCCACAAAGCCACGCGGACGGTCCCGGGGATGCGGGGCCAAGGGCAGGAGATGGGAACCTGCTCCGGGCTCGGATGTGCTGGGAGAAACTACCAGAAATCTCCGCACCGAGTGAGCGGAGAGGGCTGGTTCTCCCTTGGTACGTGGCAATTTGCGGGGCCAAGCAGAGAGAGGCGACCCGGCGAGATGCTGAGCGCAGCCGGCCTTGCATCTTCTGGAGCATCCCATCCCCTCGGAGGGACCCCGCGCGTGGATGGGACGGGCGCTTTGGCAGCTGTTTGGGGAAATCCCTGGTAAATTCACGTAAAACCACTCCAGGTCCCTGCTCCTTACAGCCTGAGAGCGTCTCAGTGAAGAGAGTAACTGAGAGGGGACAAGGAAAACTGTAAGGACTGAATACCGCCGAGGCAATAAAATGAGATCCAGTATTTAATCACTTTTTCCAATAACTGTTTCATTTTTTGGAGAAGTATTTCTGAAAGATTGCTACATTTCTTCACAATGAACAGGTGATGATGGAAGATTTCGTCTAGAGAGAATTTAAAGTTTGAGTTTTAAAATGAAGTTCTATACAGTGAAAAAAAAACCAAAATCAGCAGTGTTATTTTTGTCTTAAAGCTTTAAAAAAAAAAATAAACAAAACAAAGGTTAAAAAAAAAACCAAACAACCAAACTTTATTATTTTGGAAATACAGTCTATCATAAAGTAAATATTTTAAGTGTCTAATATTAAACAATAGTAAAGAGGACTTTGTGGAGATGAAATGAGCATCATCGGGGGGTTTGATAAACTGTCTCTCAATACTGCTAGGACCCGGGTAGCTGCTGTCGGGGACTAACAGCGCGCAGCGTATTTGGTGCAGTGTCGATTTTTTTGGTGGAATATACTTATTCACTGTCATAGCAGAAGAAGCGACTAGCTGACATTTCATGGGGCAGTCTCCCAAGAATAATCCCGAGGCAAGAGCAACTCCGCCGTCAGATGAGACCCTGGTGGGAGGCGCAGCTGGGTGCCCCGCAGACCTGCAGGTGTGTTGAGTTGCCCAGCTTGAGACCTTCTGGCAGCTTTTTCTTTGCCATCAGCAGCCTTGCCGTTTACAAATGCTTCTTCTTTTTTATCGCCTCTGCTCTGACAGCCAAGCTCTTGGCACAGATGGTCAGGACCACGATGAGGACTCCGACCAGGAACGTAACGAGAGGCCAGAGGAAGCAGTGCAAGAGGACGGTCTCGTCGTGGGTGCGCTTCAGCATCACATCGTCTGGCCTGCCAAGAGGAGGAACAGAAGAGGGAGAAAATATAAATCGACTCGGCATCATCAATTTATCATAAGTGGAAAGCACCTGCCATGGAAACAATAAAGGTGTTTTATTTGCAACAGTGTTAGAAAATGATTAAGCGGACCGTTTCATTCACTGCTTTCGTTTGCCCATCTAGCACCGGCACTCGTGGCAGGCTGCGAGGGCTTTCCACTTGCAGTGTTTACAGGCTAACAAGTTCATTCAGACAAAAAAAATATTAAAAGCATTGGTACTTTAGGTCTTCCATGGGTCACGGTCATCACAAACAGCCGTGAGAGATATAATATCACACTGTGGATTGAAAAACAGCTCCAGCAAAAATGTAACACCGGGCGGCAGTTATACCTATCTACTGCAAACAGCATCAGACACTGCGCAGAGTTTAAAGTGCAATTAAATCTTCCCTTTTAGCTTTGAGCCCTGACGTGTCCATGGGGCTACGTGGAGGCTCCTGACGAAGCCCTGGCTGTGGTCTGGGTCTGGATGGGGACCCAGTCCCGGTCCTCAGCCCCGCACCGCTGGGCTCCCAGGCTGGCCCAGCCGCACCGGCGGGCAGGGGTCTGCACAAAACCTCCCCCTGGGAGGATTTCTGCCCGGCCCCGGGGTGCTGGAGGCTCTCGACTCAGCTTCTTCTCAGCAGAGGCTGCCTCAGCAATAAGCTGCGATTTGGTACGACAAACACCGGCTGCTCGGTGGGCTTGAGCACGCTGCTGTGGGGGCACTTTGGGGAGCCTCCCCTGAAGATCTGACCCCCGCCGTGCCTCTGGCAACAGCATCTAACACGGTCATGGCTGGGGCTGTGACGGATTTATGCGTTTCCAAAGGGAAACAGAGAGAGGAAGAGAATAGCAAGGAGGAGGCATCTCGAGAGGGTTGGAAATTCAGCCGTGCCACGTGTCTGAAAGCTCAGGTGTCCGTCTGCCATTTCCAAGTCTGGGAAGTTGGTTGGGAAATCTGATGGCAGGATTTCCTCAGCTCTGGCTCTGTCTGTTCTCCCTGCAGTTTAAAAGAGTTATTAAATCAGTCTCGTGGCATTTGCACTTCGCCGCTGCTTTCCCATCTACAGCCAGAGACACACAGTCTGCTGGGAAACTATCTGCAAAGGAAGGAAACAGCACTTTCTCTACTTAGGAAAATATATATAGCCTTGACTCATATTGGTCCTCACTTACAACGAACACTCCCACCCCAGATTGATTTGTCAATGCTACCCAACGCTCCCCGGGGCAACAAACCTCACAGCCAAAAATCCTCGCAACCCAGGCTCATCCAGCCAGGATCTGGGAACTGAGCTCTCCTAACGGTGCTGCACATGGGAACAGATACCTGCGCAATGACTGCGCTGTCTTTACGCCAACAGCTTCGTCCTGATCAGAAAGCAGCACTAAGAAAACATTCCCGAGAGGGAAAGCAAGCAGAAACACTTTTTCCTTCACCAAGAAGTTAATTAATTAATGGAGGTGCCTGCAAATCTACAGGGTTTTGTCCATCCTTAAGGAGTCAGTGGAGCCAGACTGCCAGGCTACACCTGATCCCTGATTTAATTGCACCCGCATTTACATTTGGGGGTCTCTCCCCCAAAATTGCTGTCTGGAGGTTCCTCTGCACCGTGCCAGCCTGCAAGTCCCCAAGGCCAGCACTGTGCACCTCTATTTGTGTAGTAAGCAGTGGAATAAGATTCTGATTATGAGCAGCTCAGCTATATAAAAGTTGAAACTCAGCAACATAAAAAATGATCAAAAGAAACCCAGGTGTACTCAATAGTGGAACACGTGAAGTCTGCTTAACTCAAATCCTCCAGACACATAATCAGGCACATGTGGAGACCATAAATTGAATAAAATAATATTAACTTTATGGGCACAAACTCACCAGCCTGTGCCATATAATGACAGCACCCGAACGGAAAAATCCTTTCACAGCGGGTATAATACTCCTTCCCTCATATTTACTGTATCATCATCTGTGAATAACAGAGTGCTAATTGGCAAGGAGGCCATAAGTAGGCAGCATTCGATCCTCACAGCTCTTGGCTTACAAGCGACATTGAATTTTAAGCATTTTTTTTTAAAGCTGATACTAATCAAAGTGTTCAAAAATAAGGGGCAAGCAAACAAACTAGAAAATTGGATTCAGTTAAAGAAAAGAAAGTGTGACTGGGGAAAGCAAGATAGCCTTTTGACTGAACCTTAGATATTTTGGAAAACATCTGTAACAAAGGTAGCAGCGATGGATGCCAAACACTCATTATAGGTGTGACTGTAACTCTTGCAACTTAGTAATTTAAAAGAGTTTCCCTTTTGGAAAAAAGTCAAAGACTTAGAGAGGCCTTTAATGAAGCCTCAGGATGAGGTTTGGGTTCAGATGGGTATTATTGCTATTCTTAGCTACAGCAAGAGTCCCCGTGCAACTCCTACGTGGCAGAAATTCACTGTCAACTGCTCACAGCGGCTCTTCGGACAATGCATCAAGTCACGACTGGGTCCCCCAAAAATATGTCATTAAATGACTATCGGCACCACCTTTAAGACATTAAACGCCCTTCTTTAGTCAAGGGGAGGGAGAAGCACTCCTGGAGGGTGACCCGGTGCACACGAGAGCTCAAGGGATGTAGCCTCTTGGCATCAAAAAAACGGTGGGACAAATCTGAGCCTTCCTCCTACTTGGTTTGATCTGCATGGTTATTCTGGAAGAACTACCGTGCTTTCAGCTGCACTTTATCTTAGCCCAACTTAACTTTCCAGTGCAGGTAAGCACCACCGGACCCCAGGAGAGAATGAGAAAAGCTAATAAAGGCAGACGGTGCTGCCGGCAGATAGACTGCACGCTCCTGAACGACAGCATCCTGGTTATCCGCTGGTAACAGCCCACGGAAACTTATCGAGATCGACTTTGGCAGCGTATAACGCCCTTTCTTTGCATCCGTATGATTCCCTCCCTCTCCCATCAGGACCAACTCCTCTTTCCCGCGTCTGCTGGCCGGTGCAGGGATGGCACAGGGGAGAGCACTGGGGAGACTGGGACGGCGGGAGGAGGCAGCGGAGGATGGGAGCCTGGGCTCAGCCGTTGGGGAGCCCTTCCCTGCAGATCCATCACTGGAGCTGACAGCAGTTATGGGAAGTGGGAAAACAGCTTAGAGGGGGTAACGACAGCGGAGGGTCCCACTGAGACGCAGCTTTGACAGCGGAGGGAAATACCTGAAGAGGGGTTATTGGAAAAGAAAATGTTTGCTATTTTCCTTTACAAGATTACTCCTTTTACCTCTGCTTTTTGGTGCTGAGATTGCTCAACGGCAAATAACAGCTTCCAAAGGGAGGAGGGAAAAAATCAGCCCTGCTGCACCCTCACAACCCCGAGCCCACCACCCTGCTGCCGTAGCCCAGGGCCGGTGCCGGCAGAAAGCCCACGCGGCCGAGTTGCCCAGCATGACCTGAGAAGGACCATCCAAGCAGAGGAGAATCCCCCTGACCGGGAAAAACACCCCAGCGGCACATGGGTTATACTGGACTTGCAAATCCACGGCAAGAGCGGTCCAAGGAGCGGGGGGCCGGGCGGCCAGACATCCCCTGCGGCAGGACGGCCGCAGCCCCACAGAAGATGCACAGAGGTAACCCCAGGGGCTTGGGGGGGTCGCGGTGGCCCCACGTGCTGCGCCCTGCAAAAATGAGGTAACTGGGCTCATCCCCACGTTTTCTTTTGCTCCTTGGAAAGAGGGGGACGGAGGCACAAGGGGGGGGTTTGCAAAGCTGGACTTGCAAGTCCTGGCTCAGCAGCCAGGGACTGGCACGGTGGGCAGAGGGAGTGAGGGCCTGGGGGGCTGCCTGCCTAAAAACCTGAAGAATAAATGGGTTTGTGTTTGTTTTTAGGTGATCTGTGCCAGGCTAAAAAAAAATTAGGTATTTCATGTGAGATCTGTAAGGTCCAAAACAAAAGACCAGGGAAAAATTAGGAGATAAAGGGAGTTGGAATCAGAATTAATCAGACGAATTAAATATAGCAAACTCACTAGTGATTAATTAACAGGTTAGCCCACAGCAGCTGGATTTCACTTCTGCCGGGCTGTTTCTTATCCTCAGGTGACAGCATCAGTTTCGGGGAAGAGCTATCCTCCACCTCCCGAAGAAAAATGAATTCTAGGACAGAGCAGAACGGCCACCCCCCACCGGTGAGCCCCCAAAGGAACCGGCGAGGTGCGCGAGGCAGCTGTCCTCCGACACCTCAGTCTGCAGAGGGCTTGGGGACATCCTGGGAACAACTCCTAAGCCGTCCTGCAACCAGCCCTGAGGGATAAGGAACAAAATGTGCGTGTAGAGAGGACCCAGCCAGGACTGCAGAAGCCCTGCTTGGCCCGCGGGACGCAGCCGTGCTGCAGCAATCCTGCTGGGGGCTGAGCTTGTTACCGGGGTGCTGCATCAGCCCCTCCTCAAGGATCAGCGCGATCTGGATCCGTCCTGGCACAAAAACCTTTGGCTTTTGCTCCGAGGCTTACACAGCGATTAATACAAGAGAGCCGCCCCGCATGTTTTTGAATCAGAAATACACACACAGAGATAGTTGTCCTGCCAAGCACAGACCGAGAGTGTCACCAAGAGAGCAAAGTCAGAAACCAGACACCCCGTGGGACCTTCAGGAGAAGGAGCCTTGAGGTGGTTATCCCATGGAACAGAAGCACACAGCAGCAGGAAAATACTGCGGCCGCCCGGGAACACTAGAGACAGGGCAAAGGAGCAGAAAATTTTAGCTGAAATCTCTGGATTAAACTGAGGGGATGGTGGCGGGGGGAAGGGAGAAACATGTATTTCACAAGCAAGCAGCAAAAAGAAGAGAAGAGAGAGGGCTGTACTTCTACAGCAAACAACCCCTTTCCTCGGGAAGAAAAATAAACAGCTATCAGGACACTCGAAGCACGGTAACATAACTGTTTTGGTTTTGCGTGGCAAGGTCAGCATGAATCAAAACTGCAGTTTTGATGTTTTCTTGCTACTTTTGTAGAGGTGACCTGCCTGTTCCCAGAGTCTGAAGGCTTGTTGTTTGGCTTGGAAACAGAAAAGGGAAGGTGTCCCCATCTCTAGGGAAAACCCTCTCACAACAAGGATGCGGCTTTGCTGGAAGCCCCCCCAGCATCACTCCCCTGGTGCTGAGGCAGCGATGCCGAACCCAAAGGAGGTATGTCATGCCTGGAAATGTGGGGTTTTTCCCTGTGAAAATCAGCAGGCAAAATTAAAGATTTTGCCTTGTCCCTGCAAGTATAGTGCATTTGATAAATCCATCTTTGCTCTGTGACTTCCATCTAATACTTCAGTTCAAAGATGCTGACCAGAGGGGTTGCACATATCCCCCCTAAGCTCAGTTATGGACCATCTCTCATTTCTAGCGATGCTGCCATTTAGCTCCCCAGTAAATGCAAAGCCTCTCGAGGGGATGCACCCAACCTCCTAACACCAGTTACCAGTGGACAAAACAGTGGCAGGGGCAAGAGAGAGACCTAGTGGGACAAAAGGGGGAAAAAACACCTGAATACTCGATGCTCAGGCATCCAGACCTGGTTCTGCTGAACAGACAATGAAAGGAGGAATTTTGTTTTCGTTGGTAAAGGTGAGACCAGTACCTATTTTTAGCAGGACTTTGAGCTCAGGGCTGGAGCCTCGTGGGGCTTTGACCAGGGGTAACTGGATTAGTTGTTGCATTATGCAACCCAGCCCTGTTAGGCACTGCCAAGCAGTTTAGAAAGACACAGGATAAAGCGGAGCCTCCGGAGCAACAACTGAACACGATAGGAAAAATTGCAGTGCAGGGGTTACCAGAAAGTCATGTAGGACCAAAAAGTTACAGGCACGTCAACATTTCAGTCATCACTTAGGCGCCACACCATGCAATTTATGTCACACAGCGGAAGCTGACAGAGGCGGGGGCATGGGATGGGGAAACCTTACAAATATTTTTTTTTTATTCAAACAATCTGGATTTAAAGATGTTTGCAATCTGCATACGCTTACTTTGCCCACAATTATTCACATCCCTTCCCTCTGACAAGCACTCATCAGTATTTTTTTCCCCTGTTGTTGCAAGACACAGAGCTCAGCTGGAGGGCTGCACGCAGGGGCAGTGCTATGTCTTACTGACAGTAAAGTCCTTTCCCTCTTGGGGCTGAGCACTGCTCCGCAGGTGATACAGGAAAAGAAAGGATGCAAAATAGCAACACCATCTTCTGACTGTAGGGAATTTATTTGGAAAGCTTTGGGAAGTACCAGAGCAAACCAAGATTTCTGTTCCACCATTTATGAATGAGCAGCTCTACTACCTGAGCATCCTTGGCTTCTGCAGATAATTATTCCCAGATAAATGGCCTGCAGGGTGCCCCAACGCTGTACAGGTGGTTGCTAATCACTAGACAGTGTTTGCTCTTCATATCTCAGGTGGATTTGTGTACGGCATCCTGCAGCAAACACAGAAAAGTTTAAAGCCGGGCTGGCTCATCTGCTGCGCTGCGGCAAAGGAACTGCAGAGCGTTCTCGCCATACCGTTCAAACCCAGAGTTAAAAAGCAATAATGGCACATAAATGAACCCCTAATAAGAAATGACTTGACATATGTTTCTCTGCCTGTCTCTGCACGGCATGAGACTGAGGGGTCTGAGCTGATGGAGATCTTGGTTTCTCTTTTTGTTCTTGTTGATGGTGTGGCTGCCCCATCCCTCGCAGTGTCCAAGGCCAGGTTGGATGGGGCTTTGGGCAACCTGGTCTAGTGGAAGGTGTCCCTGCCCATGGCAGGGGGGTGGGAACTAGGTGATCTTTAAGGTGTCTTCCAACCCAAACCAGTCTATGATTCTATGTCAATGAGACCTGGAAGGTGAAGAAATAAAGGGACAGGGTCTCCCCCATCCCACCCATTCCTGCAGACCTCCCGCTTTAGGGCATGCTGGTGTGACCCTTGTTTGCATGTGGTCTGCTTCTCACCCCTTTTGTATAACTTTGAGCTGTACAAATGGCAACACTTTCTTCTTTTCAAAGCAGCCTGTTGAAATGTGCCCCACAAAACTGAAGGGAGGTGTTACCTAACTGCGTTCTGCATGCAGCAACAATCCTGAGAATGAGGTTAAACTAAGTTTGATGAAGAGGAGGTGATGTTCATTCATTGCCTAGATATTTACCTAGAATTCTATTCTGCTGCTTCAGAAGAGAGAGTATTAATATTGCAAATACTACTCTCCCTAAGGAACCTACCACTATAGTCTCTATGTTTTGTACAGACAGACACAGAAGAGTTAGCTCATCCACACAGTTAAAAAAATACTGACTGAAAATATGGGCACTTCTATTTTGAAGTGCACAGATTTTTCCCTCACTTTGTATGGTTTTTTTACTGCTTCACAAGCTGTTTAGTCATCATAGCTCTAAAAGTATACCTAAGCAAGCACATTCCTAGTCAGCAAAACTTATGTCTCAAAGCTCATTCCTATCTCCAGAAGAAAATAGATGGTGTACGCATTCCAGCTTAGACTATCTTCAGATGTCTCTGGCAGCAAGCCTCTCTTCTGCTGTACATAAATTGTTGTATGATCAGCAAAAGGCAGCGTTTCAAGGCAGCCATTGCATTTGGCAAGAACATTTAGCAGTATGGGATGCAGCAACTGTAAGGAAAAAACCTTGCCTGAGTGCTGCACAATTCCTCGGTGTCAACCTACTTAAGTGACAGACCCTAGGCAGTATGTAGCCTCAGAAAAATTTTGCCTTTGCTTCACCTGTAGATGTGATGTGAGAACCAGCTCCCCTGGCTCTGGACACCTACCAGCTGGGTGCCTGCACCCAAGCACATCACCCTAGGCTCCTTTACAGGAGAGAAATAATCTCTGGGCAGCTGGCCTATATTAGGCATTTATTTGGGGATAAGACGAAAGGCTCCTATTTCTTTCCACTGACTATAAAAGCTAACTTCCACAGAACCCTGTCCACACCAGCTCAGGTGAATCCTAGCCATGACATCTCCTGCAGCAGATCCCACGTTTCTAACTCTCCTGCTCACTCAGGCAGCGGCCGCTGCAGGTCCCAGGTCTCGGCAGCACCTCCCTGCCCAGAGAAGCCAAAATCATCACTCGGCTCCTGGTTTGCAGACCCAAGCATTGGCACTTGGTGAACCAAAGCAGCTCCGAGAAGGTCCCTGCCAGGCCTGATGTCACCGCACCAGTGCCCTAAGTTTTAACCTCTGCACGCTGTAGATGGTGCTTCTTTCCCCACTACAAGAAACAACTAGTTTGTGCTACAAAGCATCAGTGGTTTCCCTCTGCAAAGAGTTGACCGGGGACAACGGACTGTCACCCTGGGCACGCCGTCTGGGTCTGTGGTCTCTCCTGGGAGGGGACAACAATCACAGCCAGCCCAGGACAAACCTGAAGCCCCCAAGGCATGCAGCGGGGCACCCACAGAAGAGTTGGGCATCTCTCTGCCTGCCACCCTGCTCCAGCAACCTGGTTCCTTCAAGGTCCTTGCACACGCTGGCATCCCTTTTCCCCCTGTGCATCTTAATAAACTTAAACATCTGATGCCAACGCTCCCACACTGAGCCCTGAATTGCAGCAGGAAGCACCGAGCTCTTCCCACCTAGGTCTCCCTCGTCTGTTTATCTTCCAGGTACTGGTGGAGTTGGACCAACCTCCTCCTTTAGTCCCTGATGTGGCAGATATTTATTTAAGTACTTAACTCAGCAACCAAGAACAGTAACCCCGGCTGTATCAAAAGTACTCATGCTGACCTAATTAAGCAAGTGTCATATGCCCCCAGAATTGGAGTCTAAACCCCATAAAACATTGGCTGATCTGGAGATTTTAAATATTCTCTTTCCACCTCCCTGTCTACATGGACCTATCATCCCAATCATTGCTGTTCGCCCAAGTCCTCCCAGAGAGCCTGCACGCTGCAGTAACAGCAAGTTGCTGCTGCCACATCACCTTTTATTTCCCGGCACATCATCATCATCATCAGAAACAGGCAAAAGGACTCCCTCCTCTTCCCATTTACTGGAGGAAGGAAACCACACGTCATCCTTATACACATGTAAGTCACATCGATGTCGGTAGTAAAAGTAAGAATTGAGACAGAAGAGGAGATGCTTTAAGTGACAGCTTTCTACTCTACAAGCATGTATGAAAACTGGCAGTTCTGTGAACATTTATTACATGTATCTGACTCGTTAATCCTCCATGAGCACAATTCCCGAGTTGGTTTGTACTATTTTCTGATCTCCCCTTTTCTTCCAGCCCCTCATGAACACAGTAGGATTTCTCTTCCACGGAGGGCAGGAACATTCATATCCAAGCCAGAAATTTGCCATCTGAGTGTTAAAAGCCAAGATGCTTTTTGCCATAAAATGACATGTTTTAAGGGAAACATTCCTCAGAGTTCTATATTTTTACTTCAAGAGGTAAAACCGCTTCTCCTCTTTCTATGTAGCTTTTCATTGGTAGAGTTGTCTTGCAAAAAGTTCTGCACTAAACTCTGTGTGATAAACCACATCACTACATGGGGGAGGTGTATATACATATGCATGCATTTATATGTATTTTCAAACAGAACCAATCAACAGCTGTTAAACAGATGCATAAGCACTTCTGCCTATGCAAATCTAGATTACTCACCTCAAGTGCTGGTTAAAATAGCATGTAAATGGTTGCGAACCCACTTTCTCTTTCCAGTATTTCTGCTTGTACGTGACGTTCTCAGAGTTCTCCTGATCATCTCTTGCGCAGGGAGGGATGTACGAACACTGCCAACACACATTGCAAAACAGAGTTACTTCTGCGCTCGAGAACGCAGGGCATCACTTTCTCTGCATTTTCCTCATAATACCAGCGTGACTGAAACGGACAAAGAATAGTAAGTACAAGCTCCAAAGAAACAAAAAAGAAAAGTTAGCTATACTTGGCTGCAATTGCTAGTTACTCCATGCAGGTACTGGAAAAGAAGATGCCAGCATTCAGAAATAAAATAAAGGCTTTATCATGTTTTGTTCCATTATCAAACCAACCTGCCACATAATACCTTGGGTTTTTGCATGATGAATGGAAAAATGATCGTTTCATTTTGATGTATTCTTAGCCAGCTGCATGGATTGGATTCGAATTACTTCCTATTTTCAGTGAGGCATGTAATCACAAGTTTTGTTTAGCACCATGTTAATAACCAAAATATTCCAGCAAGCTTTCCCAGATGATGTGATATCTGATAACTGGCTGATATCCGTTGGCAAGAGACAGGTATTCTTCCACTGTTACAACACGGGGAAACAAGCACAGAAAGTTCAAAGCCCCACTTCGGCGGAAAGGTTCAGCATCTGCTTCTGCTGTATAGAAGTCAACAAGAGTTGAGCGTGCAGCTGAGCTATCTGCAGATCTCACCCTCAGACATCTGCTTCAAAGCCCAAAGAGATCAAGGGCGAGTTCCTCCCCCAGCACTTGGGACCGGGCTTTCCGAGGCTCCACTCGGGGTCACACGTAACGCACATACCTCGTTTGCAAGTCTCGCCTTTGACGCAGCACCCTTCCCTCCTAGCCACAGGGAGTTAAACACGAAAAAAACAAGTAGCCCACTGAATCCAAGGCTGGTGGTATCTGGATCTCAGCGTCCAAGCACAGTCCCTCCTATTGTTACCAGGCATCCATACGGGAGATTGTTACAGGAGGTGTTGAACCAAACTGAGTAACACAGCTTAACTGATCCTAGGATAACATAAAGGCTTTTCACCCTGGAGGATGCACAGACAGCAAGGCTCCAGGTGCACACACAGATTTTTAATTCCTTTAAAATTGGGAGCTGCAAGCAGAAAACAGGGACTCTGAAGGTAGCTAAAAAGCCTCCTACTTCGGTAGGATGAGGAAGCAGGAGGTGCAGGGTGCGGGAAGCCCCTAAAGGGATTCCCACATATGTTCACAACGTGAGTTTCTTCCCAGTATCCTGAAGGCAATAACAACAAGGAGAGAGATACCCTCGCTAACCCCAAAATAAAGATCACCGTGACCCACTGTGCCTAGTGAGTGCTTCCTCTCCCTTCCCACCCAGGGAGGTTCCACAGGGGTCTACGTGCCCCCAGCTGCACGCTCTACCCAAGCTGCACAGACCTACACGTCCATCCCCACCATACAACAGCTTGGATCTTTGCCATTCCATGGGGATGGGAGAAATCTCAGGATTTTATTGGCCTGATGATGTAAAACCTGACCGCTTCTGTCAGCACTTACAATTGCTGCCTGTAGCTTCTGTGCTTCAGACTGGAAGAATCTGCAAGGTCTTGCTTGTTGCTTCCAAGCTGAAACTTGCCTTTTTCACGTGCAAGGGCCCCCGTTTTCACATGGGCCCACATCTGGTGTTGCCACGGCCCAGAGCTCCCTTTAGATCCCTGGTCAGATGACTCTAAACAAGAATTGTTCCGCTGCTGACGACAAAGGACAGAAACGAGCAGCAACACCGCTCTGCTTCAGGAATCAGAATGCAGGATTTATCACACGCAATTATTTCCATCTTAGATAATATTCCTTGGCCAGCAATAGTTTTGGTTTGGTTGTGTACTTTGGAAGCATCAGCCACACTCCTCTTTCCTCCACGCTCCCAGCGCACAAACACATCTGTGCAGCAGCCGGAGGGAGTCAGCAGATTCAGGATGAAGATACCCCAGGGCAATGCTGGTTCTGTGCTGTCCCCCTGAGAGCCACCCACGTGCCGCACCGTCCCACCTGGCCCCTCCTGGTTCTCCCAGCTCGGCCCAGTATCCGGCACTCCCAACCCTCTCCACTCTGGTGTTTTTCTTCATGAAGCCTTGCAGATCCTGCTGTGGGAACGGTACCACGTCCCACCCGTTGGACACCCACTGCCTACGTCTGACTGTAACCTACACCCTGCTCTTCCCCAAGCCCCCAACCTTTAGGTACGCTCTTGCAATACAGGGATACAAGAGAGCAGAAGTAAACAGGCTTTACCCAGAGCCCCCCAGACCAGCCCCTAGTTAGCCGGCACACAAAATGCAGGACCAGGCAAAACAACTAGGTACCAATAGACATTCCTCTGCCTAAATTTCCTCAGTGATCTCGAAAACTCCTTTGTCTTTGGCACCAGCTCTAGTACACAGCTGCTTTCTTCTCCTCTGAAATGTTTATTCCTTGCGGCTGAGCTTACTCCTGTCCTCTGCTATCAAAGGGTGACCGCCTCACCAGTCTTCTGCTGGCCAAACCTCCTCCAGGTCCTTCAGAGACCTTTCACTTCCACCAAATATTACTTGAATCCTTCACAAAGTTCACAACCTGGTGAACCGTTGTTTATCTCCATCCTGAGTTTCAGGCTTAGAAACAACTGCAGAGATCTCTTTTTCCCAAGAGATGTCCATCTGGACGGAGAAGTAGCAAGCTGTAGCAGTCTCCAACAACAGCGCCATCACAGAGGGCTTCAAAATTTTTGACATCAGTCCCCATGCTTTTAGCTCAGTATGAAGCTATAAAAAATGGAGTTTTTCAGGACAGGGATTTTGCTTGGTTTGGAAGATGTAAAGGGGCCCACAGACAGCTTCCCCGATCAACACGTCTGTCTTTCCCCGTGCCAAGGCAAGACAGTGCATGGGAGTACCACCGGTACCTACGGGAGGGACACCTGGAAGTTGGGAACAACAGTGAATGTGCTCTCCATAACCCAAAATTCACACCACTCTTCACACAAGTAATCCCAACGGCAGCTCACAGAAAACAGGCTGGATTCATTTCCTTCTCTTCTTCTTTATCTTCATGTGGAAAACACAAAGGAGACACCCAGGGGCTTGCCATAAATCTATGAGACCCCACTGCTTGAGCCTGTCGAGGATTAACAGCCTCGAAGAGAGGAGTGGTCCCTGCCCAAGGCAAAATCCTCATCATCGGAATCTCAAGGGTCACGCTGAAACATCTCCTCAACATGATGAAGGCCTTGAGCCACAGTGAACGCCCAAGGTCCCACTCCAATGTGGGCTTACCGCCTGCTGCACAAACGCCGGAGCTTGTTTGCCTCCCTGGGATGCCGGCACAGTTCCCACCAACCTGATGTTCATTTTGGCCCCTTCTGATCCATGTAGGTGGTGAATCTCTCTTTTCTCAGCCTCCCAAGCACACTTCTTGGGGACTTTGCTTGATCAGCTGTACCACCCTCCAAAGCATAGTCAGCAGGAGGATAAAAGGGAATCATAACCTGGCAACTTTCGCTGCCATGAGTTGGTGGATGAACCTGAAATGACCTCCCGCTTTGGCAACAGGCAGTTTCTGAAAGGTTAATTCCACAGTCCTCCTCCACAAGACACGGCATGAAATCCTACCATCAAAACATAAACAACCGCCGAGTGTTTGAAAGCAAGCTAGGACGCCTTGTGCTCAACTGCAGCTCGCACAGCAACATCCATTTTCAGTGGAAGAGTCCCACTCTATATTTCTTTGACCTTTTTTTCTTTAACAAGTTACAATGGAGTTGGAGAATAGACTTAAGATTAGACATTCAGAATAAATCTAATGGAGCGGAGGCCTTTTCAGCAGATCTATTGGTACACGGTGCCATAATTGCACCTCCTACGCTATGTCATAGCAACGATAAAATTATTATGTAATTCAAATACTGTCTCAATTACACAGCTCAAAATCAGTATCAGGCTAATAATATTCCCCCTTCAATCAAAGCCAGTGTTTGGATAGATGACTCAGGATTCAATTCAGTAAAAATGTCAGGCAAACAGCTGATATACCTTTACACCAAGGTTTTCTAAGATTTGTATCTGTGTTTGCTGCTGGCTGCTCCCACTCTGGTGTCTCTGCAGATGCCTGGGAAAATTCCCGGTCCTTCTGAACACTTCACCGGAGCAGGTATTCTTCCATAGCATGGAGAAGGGACAGAGGTGTGAACTCTTGACCATGGTTCAGCTTCCAGGTTGCATTTCATGCTTGTCAAAGACTAATTCTTGCCTAATTCAGCCACATTTTTATGAAAAAGAAGCCAGACTTGGTAGGTTCTGAGGGAAGCTCTCGCAAACCTGGAAGACACTGTCTACAAGATGAGACCAAGAAAGTCTCAAATGCAAATAGACGTAAGGGCCCAAAGTAGAAGCAAGTCAGAAGACAAACCAATGGCACTAAGAAGCAACTCTCCAGCCTCAGTCTCCAAGCGACTTCTCAAGGACCATCCTCCTGCCTGCTGGTGAACTACAGGACACAGCACCTACCATTTGCTTGACGTGGCAGAGAGCCCCCACATCGTGTGCCGCCCAGGTTGGGAAGCTTGTGATGAAAGGAAGGAGTGGAAAGGACGCTCTAGATAAGTATCATTACAAAAGTACTATGCACCACTAAAGCCAACAATTTCTGGCTCCCGATCTCCAAGCATATTGAGTTTGCATGGCAAGGTTTGGGTAGTGGAGGGAGCTACAGGGGTGGCTTCTGAGAGAAGCTGCTAGAAGCTTCCCCCACGTCTGACAGAGCCCATGCCAGCCAGCTCCAAGACGGACCCGCCTCTGGCCAAGGCCGAGCCCGTCAGTGATGGGTAGCGCCTCTGGGAGAATGTATTTAAGAAGAGGGGGGAAAAAAAACCTGTGCACCTACAGCTGGAGAGAGGAGTGAAAGCACCAACCCCGCAGACCCCCAGGTCAGTGGAGAAGGAGGGGGAGGAGATGCTCCAGGTGCTGGAGCAGAGATTCCCCTGCAGCCCATGGGGAAGAAGACCACGGTGAGGCAGGCTGTCCCCCTGCAGCCCAGGGAGGTCCACGGTGGAGCAGATCTCCACCTGCAGCCCGGGGAGGACCCCACGCTGGAGCAGGGGGATGCCCAAAGGAGGCTGGGACCCCATGGGAAGCCTGTGCTGGAGCAGACTCCTGGCAGGACCTGCGGATCTGTGGAGAGAGGAACCCACGCTGGAGCAGGTTTGCTGGCAGGACTTGTGACCCCACGGGGGACCCACGTTGGAGCAGGCTGTGCCTGAAGGACTGCAGCCCGGGGAAGGGACCCATGCTGGAGCAGTTCGTGAAGGACTGTCTCCTGCAGGAGGGACCCCACACTGGAGCAGGGGACGAGTGAGGAGTCCTTCCCCCCCCGAGGAGGAAGGAGCGGCAGAGACAAGGGGGGAGGAACCGACCCCAACCCCCATTCCCTGTCCCCCTGCCCTGCTGGGGAAAGGAGGGAGAGAAATCAGGAGTGGAGTTGAGCCTGGGAAGAAGGGAGGGGTGGGGGGAAGGTGTTTTAAGTTTTGGGTTGCTTTCTTATTATCCGACTTTGATTTGACTGGTAATAAATTAAATTAATTTTTCCCCAAGTTGGGTCTGTTTTGCCCATGACAGTAATTGGTGAGTGATCTCTCCCTGTCCTTGTCTTGAATCATGAGCTTTTTCTTACATTTTCTCTCTCCCCTGTCCAGCTGAGGAGGGGAGGGATAGAGCGGCTTTGCTGGGCACCTGGGGCATCCAGCCAGCGTCAACCCACCAACCAAGCAGCGTATGAGCTTCTCCTAACTTTGTGTGTGAGCATCCCTGCGCGTTACTGGGTTATCTTCACGGCCCCGAAGGGAAGAAGCGCTGCCACAACCATCCCGCTGTGGCAAGAGATGAGCGGGGGGGCTCGCTCCTTTAGTACAAAAAAAATGCCCCCCTCCCAGCTGACTGTACGGAGGGAGCTGGAGCTGAGCATCACGTCTGGGTCTCACCTGCATCCGTCAGCGCAGGCGAGGAGCAGCGGCCGCCTGCTCTGCACCCTGCCCGGGGATGGGGACGGGCAGAACCGGGTCCCGCTGAGCAGCGGCCAACGTCAGGCTCACCAGTCACTCCCCTAAAAGTTTCTTCAACAAAACGGCGGGCAAGTTCTTCCAGCCCTACGCTTAACTTTAAGCATAGAAAGGGAACAGCCTAAAAAGCCAGAAAGCAGATCTTTTAGCAGGTGACATACTCTCCTGTCATTTTACCCAACCAAATCTCCAGCCTGGCCCCCGCGCTGGCTCGATGTGCCGCCGACGCACTCGATGGCCAGAACGATAGCGACAAATTGACTTTAGAATTAATCTCCCTTAAGCCTTATCTCAGAGATTATTATTGCTATCAAGGCAGCTGAAGAAAGGCTACCATCACTCTGCTGAAATTTCTTCCTCTGAGACAGCAATTAAAGAAAAAAAAAAAGAAAAGAAAAAAAAGAAATCCACAAATCACTCAGACTGAACACGAATGTAATCGTGTCTGGTGCTTTATATATACATTTCTGGATTAACTCTGACCCAGCTATATAATCTTTTAAGAGCTAAAATGAATCCTGGGCTGGACAATGGTGTGATTATCTTAGGAAGCGAGAGAAAAAAAAAAAAAGATTTCTTTCTCCTGCAGCTAGACCTCGCTAGAACAGACTGATTCGTAGCTGCCCATATGTTTATACGCCAGCCCACTCTACTATGGAAAGTAGAACATTTTTAGTCCGATACACTGGGGATTTTGGGGGTGGAGTGAAGCTGCCAACTGATTCAGTGTTGTTGTGTGTTGTAAGGAACCTGAACTACGCCTTTTCTGCACTATTGATTTACCAGGAAGAATCGCTACCCCACACACAGAAGCAGCTGAACAGAATGTAAAATTTAAAGACTGTTCAAAACAAAATTGGTCCATTTTTTTTTTCCTTTTAGTTAGTTGGAACTGATTAGCATGTTGTATGTCTAATTGCATGAACACAAGTGAGCATGCTGCAAGAAGGTAATGGAAAGGGGAAAGGTTAATGGCTTCTTAAGTGTTCATTCATAAAGACGTACTGGATCCCAAGTATTAAATCCAGCAGATTCCTACTCTGTTGGTACAGCTAATCTATTTCAGCATAAAATCCTGAAAGCTTTTAAAGATGGTGAGACTTTAGGACAAAAATTAAAAGGAGAATATAACTGCTCAGCTACACAGACATTAAACTTGAGGAAAAAAGGGAAAACCAATGTGACACCTATACATACGTCATTCCTTTAAAAGCATATGTTTTCCTAATAAGACCTAAACAACTTTTCATCTTATTTTGTATTGGTTTTACGTAAGCTGCTTAAGGTAAGGAAAATAATCGGAGCGCATTTTTTTTTCTATGTTGTTTTCCACTTAGTTAAATTCAGTTACTACCAGAGAATGCAGACACATCAAAAAATGCATCCTTTCTGCTTGTTCTCATCTGATAAATCAGATTCAGTCCTCAGGAACCAATATCCCAGGGTAAACAGCCCACACCTAGAGATGCAAGGTGCAAGCTAGAGAAAATGGGTAACAGGACGCAAGCACAACGTGCTGCCAACACACAGCCCTCAGTTTCCTTATTAATTGTTAAATTCAATCAGGGTCCTGAGTGACATTTACAGGCATCGCTTCTGAAGGTCTGGGTGCCTCCCTGCAGAAATTGCAATCTTCCTTTTCCCACCAGGCTTCCAGAAAGGCGGGAGAAGAGGGGATCAAGAAAAAAACCCCAAAATAAACCACTCCGACTACTCAGAGAGACGTTGGGGTTGCAGCCCAGTTCGAAAGCCTCTGCTGAAACTGAGGATGCTGCGAGAGCTGCTGAGCCCAGGCGTGCTGGTGGCATGGCTCACCTCCCAGTTCCCAGTTCCCAGTTCCCATTCCTGCTGGAGACGGCCACAGCGGGGCCGTTGGGCCGTGCTCAGGGACAGCCACGCTGCAACCTCTGCAGCAACGCGGCATCTTCACCCCACGTCAAAAGAGCGTTTTACCAACTACCCCCAGCCCTTGTGAAGATGGAGGGGGGTTATGGGGAAGTCCTGGTGCTTGGACAGCCGGGTGCTCAGGGTGCACCTCTCCGAAACCACGGCCCTCTCCATGGGGAGCCTGGCAGCAGGACTCCCAGGGAAAGGAGAAGTTTGCAAAGCTCCCTCACAAGCCAACATTTTGTCCGCTTTGCTGTCAGGCACCGTCCAGCACTGCAGCTTCATCGCCCATCGCTCCTGAGCGGTGCCAACAATTTAATCCGAATCCTGTCAGACTCACCGCTTTGCTTCTTGCTCTGCTGATTTTTGTCCCGACCACCCTTCCGAGCCCACAAGCTGCCACAGGAAAAAAAAAAGCGACCCCTAAACCCCAAGCTTGCAATTTAATCCACCTTCCAAGGGACAGATCCACACCGCTGTAACTGTGACTGCGGAGATACGAGGCTGCACTTCCCAAAACTGGACACGCAAGTCTGCTCCCCAGCCCCTGCACGCAGAGCCCAGCATCCTGCTCAGCGCGGTCCTTGGCACCGTGCTACAGCCACCTCTCTGGCGGTGAGCTGAGATTTGCTTCTCCAAATACACTCCTGATTTCAGGTTCCTTCAGGGAGAGGGGAGGGGGGGGGATTCTGCCACGTTTTTTTATTTTCTGGAAGCCGCTTAAGAAAATCACCTCCATGCAGGCAGCGTGCTGGCAAGGCAGTCTTTAGCCAGTGTGAAAAGAAAAAGGACAAAGCAGAATAACTGCCTTTAAAGAAAGAAAAAAAGCACAAGTCACGCATTGCCTTCAGACTCTCCTAGTTTGCTAGAAGATGCAACTTTAAAGACACTTCTGTTTGGTCCGTTTTCATGCGGGGGATGGAAAAGTTTAAGAATGAAAACAGCACCGAGGAAACTTCTGTTTCAGCGCAGCCCTCTCCCCGGCGGCAGCATCTCCATTAAAATTCCTCCTTGCACTTCAGGGAGCTGCTCTGGGAAGCCCCTCACCCTCCGGGACAGGCAGCGCAACCACCTCATCGGTCCCCGTTTGGGCGGACAGACCCCCCTCACCAGCAGCAGGAGTTTCTCCCCCGTTTCCCACCGGCATCCCGGGGCTGCCGGCGGGGCAGAGGGGGAGCAGCAGCGGGGTGTGTGTGGGGGCTGCGGGAAGGATAATCTAGGGCTGGGGTTCTTTGGGAAAAAAAAATATATGTATAGCATGTGCGTATGTATATAATGTACTATAGATATAGTCCTGTGGTATGCTGTGCATGCTGTGTGTGTATATATATGTGCTGTATGTATACACATGCAGTATATCCACATGCCATATGTATACGCAGACATAGCACGTATGGTATTTGTATGTGTATACTATATGTACACACTTTTTGCTGAGTAACAGCACCGGGGCATTTTGGAGGGATGCTCCGCCACTTCGCCCACGGACAAACCCTTGCGGAGGGCGGTTGTGGGGGACGCGGACACCCCAAAGGTGGGAGGCGATGAGATGGCACCCAGTCCCGGGGGGGTGGTGGGATGGGTGGGGGGGTGCGAGGTTTTACCCTGCGGGACCCCTAATTTGGGGAGCGGGGGGGGGATCTCGCCTTGGGGTTGGTGCGGAGCTGTCGTTCGTCCTCATGGAGCAGAGCGGGGGCTGAGGAGCGGGAGGTGCGGACCAGGACCTGGAGGCAGGGGTAGCGGGCTGCCCCTCGGCAGGCCGTCCCTCAAGAGAAGGTACAAAAAAACCGTTCCCCGAGCTGCCGTACCGCCAGCACGGTGCAATTAGCCGAGCTGCCTCCCCCCCGCTCCTGCAAGGCCGGCCGTAACCAGCAACAACCCAAACCCAAGAGGGAGAACAACCCGGCGGCGATAAGGAGAAAACCCAACCGCAGGCTCTTATCTTCGGCCTCGGTATATTCGGAAATCGCCCTGCTCCTCGCCATCGCCCGCCTGCCGCTGGCATACGCCGCCGGGGAGTCGCTGCCATCGGCTAAAGCTTCCCCGCCTCCCTTCCCCGCCTCCTCTAGGGATGGGGGATAGGAGGGAGCATCCCCCTCTATTAAAAAAAAAAAAAAAAAAAATTTAAAAAAATGCAAATGGCAACTCGGGCGACCTAATTCAGGTCCCTCTGGGGAGGGGGGGGTTGGAAGGGACAGCTTGCAAGGGGATTATCTAGCCTGGGAGATTTGCTGTGGGGAGGGCTAGTCCGGATTAATAGCGGGTGTTGGGCACCCCACCCCCCCTTAAATCAACATGGGATAGTGACCCCCAAAATCACGCTCAGTACCCCCCCATGTGCCAAAATCTGCGAGGGCTCTATGTGCACGCGTAGAGTCAGACCCGAAATTAAAAGCAATTAAATAGCTGGGAGGGAGGGAGCAGCTGCTCGTTTCACCTCGTTAACCAAGAAGGGAAATAATGAGAGTTATTCCGTCTCAACGTGACTTTTGGGGGGTGAGGGGTTAAGTGTTCTGCTCTGGCCAGCCCCAAATCCAACATCTGCACAGCGGGGGCAGAGCCAGCCTCTTTCACAAGTAAGCGAGACGAGAGCTGTCAAAATGTTTTACATTGGAATTGCCTTCACCAGGAAGGTATTGACCTTTGAAAGGCTGCCTGAAAAAGTGCCCTCTCCAAAGGAGGTCTGCAGAAAAGCAGTCGCTCCAAGAAAATACACTTATTTTGCACATAAAATTTAGTTATTGCCCAGCGTTGCCCACTGTGGCAACACAACAGAACAAGCTCTTCGGTGCTCGAGTGCCATAAAACAATAGTTATATTTTTATTCTGTAATAGGCAATTAGGGAGAACAAAATATGACAGTTTTGGAGCCAGCAGCTGAACCTGATGATACAGCAGACAAGAAGGTGCAGAAAGAACAGAAAAATAAATATGGGAATGAGCACGTTCCTCTGGCCACCTTTTTCAATCACTTTCCCACTGCAGAGTGCAACATCAAACTTTTAAAAATTAAGTTGATCCATAGGTTCTCCAAATGGACTATTGAGCAAGGTTTGGCAGGAAGGCTATTAAGAATCCACGCTGTGACATGAATATAAATGGATGCAAATATCGTCCTTGGTTGCACCAGTACGCTACCACGCTGCCCTCAAGCCAGCTGCTCTGTAGTAGCCTTTCCTAATACCAAAGGGTTTCAGAAAAAGTATGCCAGCTCTAAGCCTGGGATTATTTTTATTTTTATTTTACTTAAACCTGCAATTGGTTTCTGTACCAGAAACCAAACTCATCTTGGTTAGTCCTTGGTTCTGTTCATGCATTCCCATCAGTCAGGCTTTGCTGCCAGCGCTTGCGGTGAGAGCAGTCTCTCATGGTGAATACGGCTGCGTCGAGCTTTTGTATTATAAAAAATGAATTTTTAATCAGGTCGATTTGTTGTCTGCCACCTGAAGGGAAGCTCCAGCCCTGCTTTCCCAGTTCAGACGGGCTCCGACTTCTCGTCTTACCTTCTGAACAGCTGGCGTTGAGCCTCCCTGCCCTCAGTACTCGGCTCAATTCCTTGCTGTCCCCTGTACATAAATGCTGTCAGCTGAAAATTATAGGCAACAGCTCACGGGGTGGCACAGTAACCTTGAGAGTTAGTCCTCCCGCGTGCATCCAAGCCCTACATCACCAGTAGTCGGAGGAGGTGCTGAGGCTGTATTTTATCAGGGAACGCCGTTTAACATTCACCAGGTAACCTCAGCGGTTGTGAAGTTCTGCACAATAACTCAGGACTCAAAGTCTATTTGGATCGGTCGGATGTGAAAAATGACCATCGATGCCCTATTTTTAAGAGAGTAAAGCCAGGTAGGAGGGGCCCATTGTGAAGATTTTAGCTCTGCTGTCACCTGCTGAGGGCAGGGATGCTGGTTCCACCACCATGGGCTGTGTCAGGGCCAAGAAAGCCAGCCTATGAAGGTAAATGGAATTTTCAACAACAGGAAAAGAGGTTGCTGCCTGCTTTTTTTGGGCCTTTCCTTGCCCCGCGGCGAGGCTGCCTCCTCCTCGGTCGCGTACGTCGAGGCTGGAGAGGCCGTGGTGGGGGTCCTCGGGGGAATGGGCTCACACGTCCCCGTTTCCTTGCCGAAATCTAGCGGGGGTCCTCGTGATGTCGATCGTGGAGCTGCCTCGCGCCGTCTTCTGCCAAAGTGCCAGCACCGAACTCCCTTTTCGAACAGCAAATGTACGTATACGCGGTAAGAAAACGCCTTTTTGAAGCCAATACTGCGAGAGCCACCAGAAAGTAAATTGGCCTTCAAAGGGAGGGAGAGCGTAGCCGGCTGGCAGAAACCCACCTGGGGCAGGGGAGCAACCAAACCAGCCCTTTTGTCCAAAAAAAGGAGCTGTAGAGGAGGCTGAAGGGTTCCTGCAGGATTTCGATGTTCTGGGCTGCCTGCCTTCCCTTTGCTCCTCATCAGGAGCGTTTTACAGGTGATGCAGGATGGTGCAATGGTGAAAATGGGCCACTTCACTGGATTGTTTGTTAAACCAGAGGGAGTTCAAAGAAGTGATTTGGCAGAAAATTATTTTGGCAGCTTCAGCAGGAAAATCCTGACGTATACCCACGTCCCATATTGGCACGTTAATACCGACAAGGGAATATGAAATGCAAATGATAAACTGAAGTCCAGGGAAATAACATGCGAGCTTGGTTAGCACTGCTAATACTGAAGTGGGTTGGATCAGTAATACTCAAAACTATTGTTCGATGTGCTTTAACATTCCTTTCAAAAAAATAAAGTTTAACTCCAACAGTAAAGCGGTTTTAAAAGGTAAACTTACTGAAGTAATTCAACTCACAATTTCAAACTAAGTCAGCCAGCTGCATTTCCTCAAGCCTTTTAAACGTACTAGCTTTCAGATTTGTGGAAATGAGAGCATGCACACTTATCAGAGGAGAGAAATGAAAACAGCCACACCTTTTAATTCTCATACTATAGGAAAATAAAAGCACCAGTTGGCAATCCAAACTAACAGTTTAGCCCAACCTGCATTCTTTACCAGAATTCAACTAGCCCCATTTTTAGGCAGCGGCAAATTTTGAGGAACACAATGAAAGGGTATGGTATTTGAAAACTAAGCACGCTCAGAAATTTTGCTTTAGCAGAAGCAATTGCTATATTTAGGATCTTAAATCAAAAGCACTGTCTAGCTACCTCATGCTTGGGATGACAACTGTGCATTCAGCAGCTCTTCTTGAGTGTGACAGATAGCAATAAAATTTTCTTTTTCATTTCAGTCAACAACCAGCCACGGAAGTACTTTCAATCAGAAGTTACGGGGAATTAATAATAATAAAAAAATTAAGGTTATGTTCCTTTTAGGTGACAAATATCTTTAAAACAATGTCATTTTGAAACTGAACACCCTTCTTCAATAAGCCAGGGCCACCTGCGAGCCATGCGGGATCAAGCCGACTGCCCCAAAGACCTCTACGCCTTCTAGCACTGCTTAGGTCACGGCAAAGAGAGTTTCTGGTCTCTTTATGGTCACCAAAAAGAGCCCCACAACATTCTGCAAACAATTTCGCATCTGACTACAACACACAAGTTCTTACTTCGGGTACCTTCTCAATGTATTTTTTTCATGGAAATTGTAAAATGGAAACAGGAAAGTACAAAAAATACTGGCTTAGGGATAATGAGGATTTCAGGCACGACGCGCAGCAGAGCGATAGGATTATACATCTTTATACCACACAGCTGTCACGTCCGTGACGGAGCGGTGTGGTCAGTCGTGAATCCCGACACACACGCAGCCAACGCGTTGTCGGAGGTCACAGGCATGTGCAAAGCCGTTTTACCCAACGTGACTACCTGCAGGCTTCCCTGGATTACTGGGGCCGTCAATTAGATTAATCAAGCCCACGAAGGTTCTCATGCACTTAAGTATTTGCGGCACCAGGTACTAAGGCAGAGAAGCACGTGGGATTTTGGTTTTATTTTCGTTTTTAAACACCCAGGTGGAGTGTCCTTACCTCCTTCCTCCATGACTCCCTGGTACCCTTGATTTTCCACGAGCAGGGTGGTTTAACTGTTAAAATAATGGCTGCAAGTGTTTTCTGCAATACTAGGGACAATCAAGTGGGTGAAAGCTATTTTAACCCTGGAAATCCAGGATAGTACATTTCCAGAGAAACTGGAGCTAACTACTCAATAAAGATTTATAAACACTATGCAATAAGGAGCAATAAACATGACAGTGTGTCAAACAGGCCAGAAATAGGAATACTTCTCCTTGTTTTCAAGAACACCGGGTTTACTACTCAGAACTTACCTTGCACGATGTTGTACAACACTGTAATTACAGAGGGAAAAAACACACCTCAAATAAATATATTAAAATTCCATTCTACTCTCTCCCCTTATTCATAGTGTTAGTGGAATGTAAAAACATATTAAATAAGCCTCAGACCTTAATTGTTGGTGTTAAAAATCTCCAGGTCAATTTAGTTGCCAGTTTGCCACGTGTGTAAATATGTAAATGAGGGCTGAGGTTTTCTTCCTTTCAGAAAAAGAGGCAGTATGTTTTTTTTTCAATTTTTTTAATTAACGTGGTATCAGCTAAGAAGTGAGTCCAATTTTACACCTTGTTTTCTGTTTAAACCTGCTTCTCCTGCTTCAGCCTAGAGTGTAACATGAAATTAAGCCACAGATTTTAAAGTCTCCAGATATGCTTATTTAATCGACAAACAAGAGCCAGACTGTTCTTCCCCTTGGAAGGAGCAAAGCACCAGTTCCCTGCTCACAGGTGAGAAGTTTGCTGAAATCAAGCATCTTGCATTTTTGAAGTATCATGCAGTTGAATACAACTGTATCGTATCATCAAAGCAACTTCTTGGAGAACTTAGGTCCCCAACTTCAGCTTAATTGTTTTTAAAGTACCATAGGTATTTAGTAGTACAAGATACCACTTTTAATGTAACTTATCTTGCTCCCTTTAATCA